TAATTGATTGCTTCCGCGTGTTCTTCAGGCTCAAATCCCTTTCAGTTCCCATTCGATGTAAGATGTGTGGCTCCATCCAAACGCGGTCCAGCTTAGTCTGACACCGTTTCAGTTAAAGGAGGTACAATTTGATTCTTTGACAAAACTCTCGAGGCAAAGTGGTGTGTAACTTTTTGAGCTTCTATGTTAGTTAGATAGTTGAGATGACAATATCGGTGCATCTAAAAGTAAACAATTTTTTGTTAATTAATTGGTCAAAACATATATGAAGCCTCACAAGAGTTGAGTAAAGATAGTCGTTACATGTATTTCTTTCTTAATTATGTCAATTTTATCGTACCAAACAAGTTGCAAACATGCTCAATTCTTTAGATAACTAAATCCTTTATCAGCTTCGAGGTTCTGCACAAGTTAGCTTAGCCCCTCATTTTCAATCACGCATCATCTAATAAAATAATATTAAACGTAAATTTGAAATTTTTCCTTCCTTTTTAATCACATATCCCAAAATTTGATTTTAATGGAGTCCAAACAAGTGCTTAGTTTGACAACTCTCTCACCATTAATTTATAGGTTTCATAAAATATTAATTGCCTTTGTTGATATTAAGGATATGGAAATATTTTCATCTTTTCTGTAATTTTTCAGTTTTTTTACATCTGGAATTGTTCTCCTACCCACATGCTGATGTGGCAGGAGAACCCAACGTCGGGTTCTCTCCGAGTGAATATAATAAGACTTCACATTGTGGGTAGGAGAACGAGTCTGTTATTACATGTTCCATTTCTCAAATTCTTGATGGACCGAAATCAGGGGCGGCCCTGAGGGTGCGTGAGTTGAGCGACCGCACAGGGCCTTATCAGTGTAGGGGCACCAATTTTATTATGTTATATTGAAGGGCACAATTAAAAGATAGACAAATGATCATTTTTATTTAACATTATTGTATTTCTTATTCATAATTACAAATCATATCTAGGCATTTTTATTAAAGCAAGGGAAATTATTCAAATGGTTTAGGTACCTTCATAGCTAATTTCAGTGTGTTGTGTTTAACTATTTTCATTTGTGGATTATTTCTTTATTAATTGTATGCTTTTGATTTGGTATGATATGCAATTGCATAAGATACTAAAACTAAGAATAATGTAATATAATTTTCTTAAATAGTATCCTACTTTAAATAACGTCGAGGAAAAGGAAAAATAGGAAAAAATATAATTCGTAGGAATAAACATTTTGATGAAAATGTCACTGTAAAAAACGTACAGTCATTTGAAGATTCTTTCATAGCTAATTATTTC